ACATGGTGGGAAGTTTGGCAGGCAAGCATGGCACTGGACCAGCAGCCAAAGCCTCATCTCTTGAGACACAATTACAGGGCAGAGAAAGCTAACTGGAAATTGAGTGGGCTTTTGAATCCACAAATCCTGCCCTCAGTGACACACCTCCTCCAACAATGCTTCATGTAATAATCATTCTTTAACTGTTTCACAAACTCAGGACCAAGCCTTCAAATACTTGAGCCTGTGGGGCCCATTCTCATTCAAATCACATTCAAATTCACCAAGCAACCCCCCACAGAGAGAAGAGGTATCCAAAGAAGCACGGCCAATAGTTCTCAGATTCTAATGCATAAAAGAAGGAGAGCTGCTTCAGTTTCAGGGTTTGAGGCAGGGTGGCACCAGCTATGAGGGCAGTGTCAATATAAATTAATGCCAATTCAGCACTGTAATTATGAGAGTACATGCATGTTTGATGTGGAAACATGATGTCACCATGGCGCTAGAAACAACACCAATCGTCTCATCCCGATGTGTTGTGTGTCATGTACAAGGGACAGTAGGTGCAGTACATTAAAGTTAGTAGTGCAAGGTGGAGGGGTGGCTTCTCCATCCAGTGTTGACTGTTCCTCGCTTAGTTTCTGCTCAGTGCCCACCAGGTGGAGCTGCTGAGCAGAAACCATTACATTTGATCACTTAGTCTTGTGTTTACTGAACGTTCTCTGATATGGTGGACCTCAAAATAAGATCCACAATAGAAGAATAAAAATCATTCCCTCTGACGCTCACAGTTTAGTGGGAAGAGTCAGATAGCTAAATAATTCCCGGCGAGCTAATTCAGCTGGGAAAGTCAGAGTTCTGGGTATGGCAAGGAGTTTACCAGGGAAGCTGAGCAAGAACACTATAGGTCACAAGGTGAACATTAATGCTACCCAGCATGGCTGAGTAACATGGCTGGAATGAGCTTTGTGCTAGTGGTACTTGTAAAGCACAGTCCTATTTGTTCCTCTAATAGCCTATCAGCCAAGTACTCCAACCTTCTGTATGCTGCAGGCATGGGAACTGAGTCTCTTATCACCTATGGGTCCTAGCTCATACAGAGCAAGCAGCAAAGTCATTCAAACTCGGGCCCCAAGCGCTAGATTCCTCAAGCTGGATGTTGTCAAGCTCCATAGAGGGAAATTAAAAGAGCAAGCTGAAAAGATTGGTAGAAAGGGCATAATAGCAGCTGGTGACCAAAAGGGACTTTCCCAGCAGGACCCCAGAGGTTAGGGTATCAACACGTGTTTTGGAAATATGCTGGTACCCCATGAGGAGGACAAACACATAAACATCACCTTTCTTTTGTCTCTTGCTCCTAGCCTATACCCTCCTCCAACCCTTACCGCAAATATGGCAGCTGCATAGGGGCTGGTCTAGTTTCAGGAAAATAGTTCTTTATCTTGGCTCCAGTTCTGCCTGCAATATCCTTCATCTCTACTACGTCCATCCATCCCTCCTCCCACTGCCCCAAATAAAAATAAAATACAATAATAACTGCATGCTAGAGTACCCAATATGTTCTTCGTACAAGCTTGGTTAAACAAATCACATTGACCTTTAATAAAAATGTGCCCAATGTTTCCTTCTCTCATTCAGTATGTTAATCTTCAGGCCAAACCACCATCAGAGCAAGCTTCATTAAGTACAAATCTGATCAGGCCATCCCTGGCTCCAAACTGCCTCCAACAGAGCAGACAAGGGCCTCCTGGATGTGGCCTGTGTTGACCCTGCTAGCCTCATTTCCCACTATGTTCCTCCATCTGCATCCTGCCCACCCTCAAGCTGTCCCTAAGTACATAGCCCGCTAAACTCCATCAGCTCTGTCTCCAGCATGTCTCTGTCAGCAGTACCCTTGATACTTCACTCCATGCCAGTCACATGTTGATTACTTCCTGTCATTCAAGATGCAGTTCAGGGTGGCTCCTTCATTCTTCCTTTCCTGAGTCCCCTACTCTAGGTGAAGCTGACAGCCCCTCTCTGAGCCGTACACCACGGTCTATGACTCCTCCCTGCATTTACCTGATTATGCCTGGCTTGGTGCTGGCACATGTTTAGGGCCTAGGAACAGTGGCAGCCAGGGTGAGATGGATACCCAGCATAAGATTATTATGTTAGTGACTGATGGAATTCAGGACTAGCACGTGAATGTGTGCTGTGGACATAGTGGCTTTGTGATGAGAACACCTGATATTTCAGGCCACAGAAGACTCTACCCAGGAAGATTCCAGTTGCTCCTTCCTTTTTCGCCTTGTCCTTGGGGCCTTGGTGTTCCCACAGAAAACGTCAGTTTCTATTCAAATGGGAGGTTTGTAAAAGTTGCCAATCATGGTGATATTCACCTGATGAGAATTAAGTGATTAGTAGTTCAAAATCAGCCCAGGTTGTATGACATCATGTCTGAGAAAAAAAAATGGAAGGAAGGAAGGAAGGAAAAGAAAAAACTGGAAGAAGAATGGAAAAAAAGAGAGAAAGGGGAAGAGAGAGAGAGAGAGAGAGAGAGAGAGAGAGAGAGAAAGCCCAGGCTAGCTGATCTCACTTTGAGCATTGAGAGAACCCTGGAAGGTTCTTGTACCACAGTAGAGTGAAAAGGTTTTAGATGGAGCAGGTAAATGGTAGATTTGTTTGTATTATTTCAAGCTACTAACTTAATTGCTCTTCTCACATGTAACAGTCAAAGAGCACTAGCGCTAAAACCCTTGGCAAAGATGGTTCTTCTTATCAGAGAAAATTTGAACAACTCCTGAAGGAAAAACTGGAGGAATGTCTTTCCCTATAAAAGCAAACTGACAGCATGAATGCCTATAGCAGCAGACAGAGTCATCGTCACCCTGGCAATGTCATCTACATAAATAGATTGCCATGTGCTGTCTGGGTCTTCAAGGGGAATGAGGCAGGCACTGTATCTCCATTGCTATGTCTGAAGCGCCTAACCCTGAGCCCAGCTCAAATAGGTGCTTAGTGAATATCTGGTGAATTAATGAATGGCCTTGCCTTGCAGGTCAGGAAAACAGGGTTTCAGTTCCTACTTTGAAAGCACCAGCTTCCTCTATGGCTGTGGACTTTGTCTCTCTGATTTTCTTCTTCCCATCACTGTAGATCTTTTATTATAGGCATGACCCCTCTGCCTGAGTAGGGGATCCCAGATATGTATGAACATCTTTCCTTACACAATACTGCACTCAAATGATGGTGTTAGCCACTATAGTTTGTTCTTTCCCATGAGAGTTGAATACATCCAGAGGGACTCTGGGAGTGAACCTGTCTCATCTCTCTGGCAGCCAGGCTTTGGTACCCTACTAAGTACTCTCCAAGCTGTTAGACTGGCCATATGGTGGGTGCTCGCAATACACTGGGACATTTACCATCTCTGGAGACAGATCTGCAGTTCCTGGAACATGAAAGCCACAGTATGATGGGATCAGGGACAGAGGTTTGAACAGGTGGTCAGGGAACACAAAGTTGAAAGACTGAAGTAAATATAAGGCAAAGAAACCAGAGAAGCTACAGAACCTGGGAAGGAGAAGCCAGAATGATAAGATGAACTGCTGCATTTTGGAAACTGAAAGAGGAAAGCAATAGTATTCATCAAAGAAAGAGAAGTCATTGTGAGGAGACAGGAAGGGTAGATGATATCAAAGACTTAGACCCTGATACATTATCATGTTCTAAAATTTCAACCAATGTATTGAATAAAAATATCAGAAAAAACACCAAAATGCTAATAGCAATTGTTTGACGTGATTAGATTATGTCTTTTTTCTCTTTTATCCCCATAGTCTTAATATGTATGTGTGTTATTTTTAAAATGTAGAAACTATGTAGTAACAAAAGATGTAATATGTAAAAGATCAGAGAGGGGTGGCATAAAACAGAAGGTCAGCTGTTGAACTTGAGCTTTGAACTTCATGGTAGGGTTTAGTCTGGTTAATTTCTTCCTAAAAGTATTTTATTAATGTACTTTTAATAAAGCAGTGTTTATAAATAAGAATAGCAACTGGACAACATTTCAACAGGCCCTGGAGCCTTGACTTGCTCATTTCATAGTGGCTGTAATTCCTGTGTGTATTTGTCATTTATTTTGGCTTGTGGGTTCAGAAGTTTAGTATCAACATGGAGAAGGCATGGCAGAGAGCAACTCTATCCACGATGGCAGGAGTTTGAGGCAGAGCTTACAACAGACAGGACACAGACAGAGCAGGCTGGAACTAGGGGCTGGTTTGGCATCAAAGGCCAACCCTTAATGGCCTACTTTGGCAAACCAGGCCCCAAACATCAAAGGCTCATGGCCTTTAAAACAGCATGACAAGCTGTAGACCAAGCATTCAAACATGAGCCTGGGTGTGCTGCTAATTCAATGGTGCTCGGAGTTGCCTTCTATGATATGAGCCTATGGGGGATGTTTCAGGTTCAAACAGCCAGGTGTTGGGGAACCTGTGGCTCTGCAGGCAGTCTTCGCATAGGCTGTTATTTCAACTCACCAGTATTCAAAGTCCCATCTTTCTTTCTTCCTTAAATCCCTGACACTAGCTTTAGTCCTGTGACTTCTTTGACCAAATGTGAGCGTAAGTGAGTGACATGTACTGCTTCTTTGATGGAACAATTTTAGAGTTGCCATCTTTTACAAGGCATGTTTTTCATTCTGTCACTGTAATCTCCAAACCACAAGGCAATCATCAGTGGCTATTCTAAGAGTCTGAGTCACAGAGCATAAACAACAATGACCTGGAGGAGAGCCTTCAGCCACCTGGACTGTTTGTAAACAATAAATAAAATTCTGCAGTTTAAAAATAAAGAATAAAAAAAATTAGACACCAGCTAGGTGAGGACTGTTTGTTACTGAAGATACTGACTGATACAGTCTTCTGAAAATGTAGCATATTTTTACATATATATATATATGTATATATATATATATAAAAGATGTATCAGCAATACTTCATCAAGATGCTAAGTTTTGTTTTTGTTACCTTCCTTTCTAGATGATGCATATTTACTACAGGGACTTAATATAGAGGAACTGTATCCAGAGACCTCTAGTTTTATCACTTATGATGGGTCGATGACTATCCCACCCTGCTATGAGACAGCGAGTTGGATAATAATGAACAAGCCTGTATACATAACCAGGATGCAGGTGAGCTTAACGTTGGTTCTTTAGCAAATGGGAAGAAAGTGTGAGGACCGGCTGAGCAGGTTCCCAGTAGACGGTGTTGATTTAACAAGAATTTGTGCAGCCATAAAGTACAAACTGGGTGGCACAACCAACAGAAACCTGTTTGCCTCATAGTTCTGGGGGACGGAGACCCAGATGAAGGAGTCAGAAGACTTGGTTCCTTCTGAGGCATGTGAGAATCTGCTCCATGCCTGGTCCCTGACTTTTGTGGTTTGCCAGAAATCGCTGTTGTTCCTGGTTCAAGATGTACCACCCCAAGTCTCTCCCTTCGTTGTTACTTGGTGTTCTCCATGTAACTGCATCTCCGTTACAACCAACCTTCTTTTAAAAAGACCCTAGCCGTACTAAATCAAAGTGCTCACTTCAATTACTTCATATTAACTTAGCTGATTGCATTGGAAGTAGCCCTGCATCTGGGTAAAGTCGCATCCGGAGTACTACAGATTACCAATACCTTCAATTCACAAGTTTGGGCGCACACAATTAAATCCACAACACCTGTGTTTATAGAGCCAGTGTCTGAAATGAACTAATCTGAACTGTGGAGACACTTCCCCTGCCTAAGGGAAGTTAGAGTGCAGAGCTGGTTCCACAATCACACTTTACAATTAGAGTGTTCAGTGTTCAGGTAGAGGTGCAAATGGATACACACACACACACACAATGCCTCACTCCCACAACCTCCGCACTTGAGAAACTGAGACAGGAAGACCACCCTAAGTTCTAGGCCAGCCCTAGAATGATGGCTACTGAGTAGGTACCTGTCTCAAAAACGTAATGATTTTTAATAAGCTAAATCAGCCTAAATAAGCTAAAGCCAACCTTGGTGGTAGGGTGCTTATCCTACATGGATGAGACCCTCAGTTCATTCTCTAGCACTAGAGACAGGAAAAAGATGAGCCTATGTCTATTTCCTATGAAGGAAATTTTAAAAACAATGTGTGTGTCAGTCTCCAAGCAGGGGTAACATGGTGCACAGCATCTCCCGTTAAGTGCTTTGGATGTGGGAGTTTTTAAATATCACTTCAGATAGTCTATTCCTCAGAACTGCACAGGAACCAGCCTGTGCCAGCTTTGCTTGGTGGCTCATTGTGCACACCCGGCTTGCCAGCGTCCTCCTTTTCCCCATGATGAAGGTAGATTGCATGCATCTGTCCCCACTCCAGCACCTGCTCGCCAGTATCTAGAAAGCCTCAGAGGGGAGTTAAGAAAGTAAAGCAGGACCCCATCTCCTTGGCAAGATCTGTGTTCACAACCTGACAACATGAAGTTCCCAGTCCCTGATCCTGGTGGGACTTGTTAGATGACAAACAACAGTCACTCCCTCGGGGTCACTCAAGCTCAGAAAAGGGACATGTTCAAGAGATACTGGAATATCTCAGCGAGTTCAAGACTGGAAACTAATGGGGGAAAGGGTTCACTAGAGTCAGAATGCCAGAAGTTCTATCCACTCTCCTCCTCTCTCCCTCTTTCTTTTTCTCCTCCCCTCCTCATCTTCCCCTCCTTCTTCTCCCCCTCTTCTCCCATCCCTCTTTTACCCTTCTCTTCCTGTTCCCTCTCCTTTCCCTCTCTTCTCCTTCTTTCAATACATTTGCATTATTCTTCTTGGTCTTGTGATAAAAGAGGCCAAGTATTCACAAGACAGAAAGTGCATTGGTCCAGTTAAGGGCAATAGTCTAACCACTATGGTAGTTACCATAGGGCAGAAACTACTGCCTGGGTATATTTGAGGATGAGAATCAATGATTTGTTTAAAGTCCACACAAGCTGCCAAGTTACGTGCAAATGTACTCCATGTCTGAAAGACATCAGTGGCCCTTCACCTCAGCTCAGCTGGGAAAGGGGGCTCTGAGGACTCACGACCTTTTCCAGATAAAGGATGCTGCCTGACCAGGCAACAGCCTACTTGGCCTTTCTTCCCCAGAACATTCGCATAGTGTCTGGGTCTCACTGCTGTTTCTCTCCTCAGATGCATTCCCTACGCCTCCTCAGCCAGAATCAGCCATCGCAGATCTTTCTGAGCATGAGTGACAACTTCAGGCCTGTGCAGCCACTCAACAACCGCTGTATCCGTACCAATATCAACTTCAGTTTACAGGGGAAGGACTGTCCTAACAACAGGGCCCAGAAGCTACAGTACAGAGGTGAGTGCAGGGGCCCTTGGAACAGTGCTCAGGCCAGAGGTCCATCTTTTAGCTTAGGCCTATCTCCCATTGTAAGATCTCTGATGGTAAAATCACTGCCACACCCATTTGCAAGGTGCTTCTTTATTAGCAAATTTTGTATGTCATACATAGATGAAGGAGATAAAGGTTAAAAGGTTTGATTTATGTGATGTATGTGCATAGATGTTTAATGTCACATGTGTCAAACCTTTGCATCTCCTCTGGTTCAGGCAAAAATAGTCCTTTCTATGGACATTTTATTAGAGAGCTCAGAAAGCCTAATTTCCCCCAAAGCTATGTTAGAACAGAGCAGTAAGAAGCATGGGAGGTTTTGGCTATGTGCCTCCTTACAGAGGATAGAATGCTCTAGGGTTCAAGGAGTGAATAGTCATATCTTTGTCTAGTGCCATGACCCTATAAGCAGCTATTATTCCTACCAAAGGGGACACTTAAGATGACATCTATTTCCTATGCCTGGCTGGTGTCTGTCTTTTCTTCTACTGACTCAGCATCCATTGGCCAACATGGTGAACTCTCAGTGCAGAAAGGGAAGTGCAAACAGAGATGTCCTGGACAAGACATTCAAGAACTTACCTTTAACAAGCCACCCTGGGCTTTTCCCACCACTCCCAGTCTCTTCCTGGCAGTCTTGATATTCACCATAGCTTGTGCCTGAATGGGGAGTCCTTTATAACAATGACATGGTCCCCAAATACAAGGGCTGTGGTCATTTCCAGACAGCTTTGGAAAGCGGATACCATTGCTTCCCTTAACCCTAAATGCATTGCTCCTCTTTCCTCTGGGTTTCATTTTTTTTCCTCCCTTTTTTTCATCCTTGTTTTTCCCTTAGACACTCATAGGATGCCTAAACTATAGTCCTTGCTCCCTTTCAGCCACCACTACTGAACAAATACCCTCTTCTGTCATGGACCCTTCTCCTTATTCTTCACTGATTTATTGAACACCTATCAGGCACTTAGATGGTGATGGTGGTACAGTGGTAATGAAAATAGATATGACCTTAACCACAGAGCGGTTGTGATCTAAACCAGAGTTTGGCACTTTTAGCGTAAAGAAGCAGTAATCAAATGCATTAGGCACTGTAGGTCAGATAGCTTCTGTCCCACACTCTAATGAAGTAGTATGAAGTCAGCCATAGGTAACACGCAAATGATGTAGCTTGAAATCAGCCATAGTTAATATGCAAACAAAGGGGCGGATATGTTAGATTGAAGCTCTTAACTAAAATGTTCCTATTTCGGGTCTAAACCAGTGTCCCCCTCCCCCAACAAGGACTTTCTACATGACAAAACTAGTCTATACCTCTCTCCTCTGCTATTGAGCACTTGAAGTGTGACTAGCTTCATGACACAAGTACATTTATTCTTTTCATTCATTGGGCTTCACAGTAATAACCTGAAGCTCTAGGCTAGCATTCTGGAAAATACAAGCCTAGAAAGCCATGGGGCAGGGAATAGTCATGACGCTAATAAACAGGCAGGCTTTTGAGTAGCCCCCCTCACTGAATACACATTAATTCAAGTGTGCCTTGTTTTGTGTTGTGTGTATGTGTGTGTTGGGTTTTGTTTCTTTCTCTCTTTCTAGTAAACGAATGGCTCCTCAAGTAGGGAACTAAGCCAAGAAGAATCCAACCTCAGTGAAGTTCTACAACTGTGAATTGACGTAACCCAGAATGCCCTCCTCTTTCTTCCTTCTCTTTCCTTCTCCCTAAGCCTTTCACTCTCTGAATTGGCCCCTTCTTCATGAAAACTGCAAAAATATGTCAGAGGAGTGCATCTCTACACACACACACACACACACACACACACACACACACACACACACAAGTACACACATCCATATCACCTCCATGATGGGAAGCCAAGTCTCAGAAACAAGGGTTCATTCATCAAAGGTCTTAGAAGAAAACAACCAGTTAACCTGATTACAATTTTGATACTGTTTTCCTGAACTAATAACTCTATCCAATGAGACTTCTCAGCCTTTGTACATACAAAACTTCTTCCAAAAGAGAGAGGGGAAAAAACACCACTCTAAAAGCATCAAGTGGACTCTATCTCATCATCCCTGACGGTGTCCTAAAATACTCTGAGGATGCTGGTGACAGGTGAACCAGAACAAAGCTGACCAAGGACACTTATTTCTAGATTATGATTCTTCTGTTTACTCAATGATTTAAAAAGAAAATATTCAAAAAAAAGGACAGACATCAAAGAGCTATACGTTGTGTATATATATATCACTGCAGACTATAAGAATGGAATCATTTCCCTATTTGTCACTTAACTGTACTAGGATTTGCCCGAGATCAGGATCGATCCATTCGCTGTTTCTTGTTTTCTGAAGGTCATACATTGTGTTTGGTTATTGTTAACAGCCCAATAAATGTGTTTAATGCGTTGATTTCATTTTTCTGGCTTTGGTCTGTTCTCCTTCCTGCCAGGCTAAGCCCTAGCCCCATTCTGCTACCTTCTTGGATCTCCCGTGTTCCTTCATCTCCATGTTGTGTTCATTTGCTGCAGCCAGTTTTACTAAGTTTGTGGCAAGCAGGAATGCATTTGCTAAGCAAGTATGCCTTTAATTCCACCCCATGGCTCCATCATTCATCCCAGGTGAGCTTCGGCCTGATATAGTAGGTGATCAGATTCCTTGCGTTTCAAAACTGCCATTCCCTGCCCCAACCCCTGTGATGCTCCCGAAGGAATGCACTTTGCCTTGTAAATTCCTGGGAAATTGGGGTATCTTTTCTCTCCAGGTGCAGCCAGATCCCACAAAGTACAAACGAATGCCTTTCTTTTCTTGTTTATAATGGTCACTCACTGTGTTTGGTTACTGTCAAAAGAAATCAATAAATGTGTTTAACAAGTTGCCCAATGCCCATGTCTGAGTTTATTGAGAAGGAGGATGCTCCCTGCTGAAGTTCTCTGAATCCTGCTGGGTCCATCCAGCAATTGCATCCAGCCAGCAGGGCAGTCAGAGCTGCAGGAACAAGCTGTCTGGCCAGTTCCAGAACCAGGTAATTAGTACCCTGTTGAGAAAACATATAGGCTTAGCTGCTGGAAGAGATGACTCAGATGTTCGGTTGCTTGCCAAATTAAAAATAACTTTCTCCTCTCCTTCCTGTCACAATGTCCAACAAGAGGGGAAGTACTAATGGGGTGGGTTTGTCCAAATAGCACAGAAAAGTTATGTGTATTGGAAACCCCACCTAGGGGCAAGGTATGTTGGTAATGAAAAATTCAAACCACCCGTTATCTCATAATTAAAATACAGTGCTAAGCTGGGCCTTTCTCTTTCTTCTTTCTGCATTAACAGTATTTACAGAACAACCTGAGCCATGTGGGTATCTAGGTCTACTTCTAAGTAGGTGCATTTTTTGTTTTATTTTCTTTTCAAGACAGGGTTTTTCTGTGGCTTTGGAGGCTATCCTGGAACTAGCTCTTGTAGACCAGGCTGGTCCCAAACTACCAGGTTGGTCCCAAACTCAGAGATCCGTCTGCCTGTGCCTCCGAATGCTAGGATTAAAGGCATGCTCTACCAATGCCCAAATAAGCAGATGCATTTTTACAGAAAACAAATTATCTACAAAAGGTTTCAGGTGAGCAGGAAGCAGCCTTACATGGTGTGGCTGGCTATTTGCTCTGTGGCCACAACCTCCCCTAACCTGTGATGTAGCCAATGAGGGGAACGACATCGAAAAACATGCAAGTAAATTGACTTTACTCTGCTATCTGCCTACAGCATGACCCTGGACACTGGACATATTAAATCCTATTCCATGAGTTCTGTCAATGCAAAAAACCAAAAAACAAAAACAAAGCAAAACAAAACAAACAAACAAAAACCCACAAAGAACAGCAACCAACCCACAGCTATTACCATAAGAATAAGAGTATATTCTGGAGCCAAATTTAAGTGACCATAGTCTGGGAAACAGATCCAGCTCACCACATGGAGGCAATTTAATCATAACAGAAAAGATAGGCATAAATCAAGGCAAATACAAATTCATCAGTGACTATATCTGAATGGTGGTTACAGCATGAAGAGGGGATCTTTCCAAGGGGCCTCAGATGCTAGCCGATGACACTCCTAGCTTTGAAGTTGGTGAAAGCTAGTGATCTAAGTTAATAAATTAAAAAACGGTTTTACCTACTTGTCACGAGATGTTAGTCCTGACACAAAGACGGGCAAAGAATGGAATGGTTTTCTAAGGGGGCTAAAGCTAACCCAAAATAAGGTTAGGCTGTGGGTCTGCAACATGGCAACCTGTGTCCACATCACGGCAGTTTTATCAGTGTATCTCTATTTGCAGACATGGCTTCTAAATAACCACTAGTAACAGCGCAACACCTGCACTTGACTGCCCTGGAAGTGATATCCAGGGAGGAGCATTTGGGTGACCTACTCACCTGCAATTTATCAAAACCGTACCATGCCTCCCTTCACAGGAAGGGGTTAGTATTGGTCACCTGAGGACACTGGAAAGCCATCAAGAGGAACAAGTGCTGTGCAGACAGGATAAACAGGTGTTGAGGAGGAAGCAGGACTGTAGGACTGGGTTCCCGGGCCCTCGTCTGTTGCCAGTGTCCTCTGTAACTTTGAGCAAGTCAGCTCATCTCCCCCAGGCTGGGGCTCAGACAAAACAACCTCCTGTAACCTTCCTACAATGACATTCCCCAACCCAGCTCTCTCTCCCTCTCCCTCCCTCCCTCCTTCCCTCTTCTCTCTCTCTCTCTCTCTCTCTCTCTCTCTTTCTCTCTCTCTCTCCCCCCCCCTCTGTCCTTTAGTCAAAGGTGGCCATTAAGGAAAAGCCAAGTGATGAGCTGTCCATGATGTCCCAGGGCCTTGGGAGAATTTCTCCTTAACTGACTGATCTTGAAATGGGTCACACTGGTCTCTATCGTCCATCTTTGAGACCAATTCAAAAAGGCCCTTTTCCACATCCCCCGAGGTCCTAAAGTGTAAGGCAGAGAGCAGACACTCCATCTTCGAACCAAACAGGAGCAATGAAGATTAGCTAGACTGTGATAGAGTTCACTTGGCCAGATGCTTATCTAAACATACACCCTGTAAAGTGGATGTGGTGACTCATCCCTGTAATCCCAGCAATGAGGGAGGAGGAAGTAGAAGAATCAGAGGTTTATGAGTTTGAGGCCAGCTTGGGCTATATGAGACCCTGAATAAAAAGTGAAGAAACAGTTGGCTTTTGTGCAGATCTAGTTTGGTTTGACACAGGATCTCTCTAGGCATCGCAGGCTGACCTCAGAATCACAGTTTTCCTGCCACAGCTTTCCCAGGGACTGGATTACAGGCCTGATCCACCAAACTGGTCTTCAAAACCAAAAGTATTTGAAGTATCAAAACTCCCTTAGAACATGGCCTGGTGAGGACATTCATAAGCAAAAGTCCATGAACACATTTTTCCATCTAGGGAGCTGAGGATGGAGTAGACACAATGTGCTGTGTTCTGTGAAATTTGCCCAACACCTGGCTTCAGCTGTCAGAGCCCTGGCCAGTGTGAATGTCCCTTTCTTCTGAGAGGAATCTGGGGGTGTGCTGACTCTCATTCTTTTCCTAACAGACTGGGGGAAAGGGTAAATGTGCATGCAGGAGCAGGAGGAGAAAATTGAATGACACAAAGAAAACTGAAAATTTGCAGCTGTCTCTGGGGAACACATTTTCTGTTTCTAAGGCCTTTAGAGACCTTGTTCCCATCTAAGTAGCAGCTTGGTTTCCATGGCAACGACAGGACAACCACAACTGGCTGCACTAAATATCCCTGTGTGATGGTGACCTGGAATTTAGACAGGAGAGCTATGCATGGGCTGGAACCTGATAGACCATGTTGTTAAAACACCACCAGCACCCCTAGGTGGGCCCTGCATGCTGAAGCCCAAAGTACTTGCATCTACACCAGTGTCCTGGTTTTCTTGTTCCAGAAAACTTAAGGGTAGCATTCTGGGAGCCCAAAGTCATTCTCAAACCTTCAACAACTAGCTGCTTGAACATAAGGGACGATCTGCCAAGAAGCCAGCTGAAGAAACATTCATAAGTTACATCGGGAAGCAAGTGTCGTGTGGCCCCGGCCTTGTGCTAAGAGTTTCCATCCATCTCCTTTCACCCACTCAGGGACCTGAAACATAATCCCCATGTTGTCCCCATATTGCAAATGCAGAACTGGCTTCCTAAAAACTGAATGGCCAACTCGGGGATGTGTGTTCATCAGCAGGAAAGCCAACCTCGGCTCTTTCAAAACCCTGTCTCCAACCACCAGCATCCCCTGGGACTGCTGAAAACTCCAGTTCACCAGCTCACCGAAGAGCTGTTCACACTCAGGATGAGGCCCAGCCAGCCCAAATGATCCTGATGCCCACTCATGTGTGAGAACCACTGTCAATCAGATGTTCATTCCTGCAAACTCCTGCTCTAGGGGGACTCAATTTGCTACATGTTAGAATTGCTTAGGCATAACACCCTCCAGCTTCATCCATGCTATAGAGGTACCATTGTTCCCTTCCTTTGGTTGTATTTTAATCATTTATGTTACCATACAAAACAATGGATTTCCTTATAGGACTTCCATGCATATGCCACTGTGCTTATTATTCATCCTCCCTCCCCTTCCCCTCCGATTGGTCCCTCACCTCTCACCAATTTCATAATCCTCTCCTATTTCTCGCCTCCCTTATTACTCTTGTA